GCTAGTCCTCATTCCCACCAAACACGGCCATGTGCTCCCACTCTGGAGCCACATCTAGACTATCAAATACAGCTGCTGGGAAGAGCAAGGACTGAGCAGGCCTGCCGGTGGCCAGGATGCCGCAGCCAAGAAAAGAAGGTTGGGAAGAGAGAGACAGTGGGGATAGTGAGGAGCAGTCAGTGCTAAGGGAAAGAGTGAGGGTTGTTCGAAGAGGACTTAAAAAGCCAGCAGGGCTGGGGCTTATGGAGCCATCCCAGAAGGGCCAGGGAGGTGAGGCTAGGACATCCTCAGGGACCATCAGACTTGTATTTCAGAGGCTCTCTTGGGCACACAGAGAGCAGATCGGTGGGGGCAACGACACCTACAGGAGGCCAGTGATGAGGGAAGGGCAGAGGTCCAGGCGAGAGAAGACAGGGGCTTGGCCAGGAGACACAGGACAGGGGCAGGGTGAAGTTGTGCAGAGAGTGGAACACTGGGGAGTTCTCAGGGGGTGCTGGGGAGAGGGAGCTTCTGGCCTCTGCAGGAGGTGCAGTGAGTGCTTCTCTCTGAGACAGAGGTGGGGTCAGAGACAGGATGCTGGGTTTGGGACTTGTTGACTTTGAGTTGTCTTCAAGACATCTAAGTGGAAGTGTAGTATGTGCAGGTGAAACAATAAAATGCTGTCTTTTGGGGTATATTTTAAAATTCAAACTCTTTACCAATTCACAATAGCCTTGCCCCTAGAAATAGTTTAGTAGTGCCGAAAATGTGAAGAGAGTCACCCAATCACCCCCATGGGAGTGATGGTTTATGGAGAGAGGTTAGAACAGCCCAGAATTCTCCTTTCCCTACATAGGCAAATCCAGAGGGCCCTGGGCAGCAGCCCACTCCTGCACCCAACCCATTACACAGTTCATCAACCCGAGACCAGTTTGGTCACTTACTGTCTCTGTGCTTTTATGTGCCAGGAACTTTTTGTTTGTTTGCACTTCGAATGGCTCTAGTACACAAAACTGTCAGATAAAATTCCATCTGTGGTTAATGGAAAGATCTGCTTCAATGTTGCATCACTGCTGGAAGGAAACCTGAGCTTTGGTTAAACTCTGGGGGCAAAGTCCCATCCTGCAAAGCAGAATGCCTACCCCAGTCCTTGCAATCATTTTGCAACTTCTGAGCCTTAAAGCACTGCAACGAAGGCTCAAATCAAAGACTCCCACCATCCTGGATGAAGCCACCAAGGGCCTCCCTCAGAATACCTTTATTCTACATTTCCATCATCAGTGTGACTGAGAACTGTAGGGAAGGAAAGGGCCAAACCCAAGTCATCGAGTTAAAATGTAAGGCTTGGAAAACACAGGCAGCAACTCTAACTGTAAGCCAGCTTGGAATACTATCAGAAGAAGTAATTTTTTAAAAATTTGTGAGTCCTTTCAGTGATTGGCTGATGCTTCTGTAACATCCACCCTTCTCCAGACTTTTGGCAAAAGAACAAGTTAAAAACAAATGCTTTCAGTTTGCTTAAATGACAGCCCTTGGAAAAACCCAGCGACTGATACTACACGCTGAGAACACTTGGGCTGCTTCCCCAAGGATAGGGCTGAGCAACAAAGCCATTGAGTAAAATGGCCCCTTTCAGAGATGGTAAAAAACATCAAGTAAAGGTAATTAAGAACGTGAGGAACACGACTGCCCAATTCTGGTGCAAGATCAGTGCAAAGAAGATGCTTAATAAGTGTGCGCATGCATGTGTAACTAAAAAACAAAGTCCTGCTGTTGACGCCACACTCACCCTGTGTTTTATTTTGCCTTAACAAATGTACATTCTATCAGCTTTTATATGACGTAGGGGAAGACTGTAAATTCCACCACTTATCAAAGCACTTTTACACAGTAAAGACTGGAGCTAATTAAAATAAGATACCATCTGCATTCAATTGAACTTTATCCTAAGCCCTATAACATTCATTTCCAGTTTGGTCATTCAAGCACAATGGCGACTTCGCATTCCAATGTCTCTGGATAATATTAAATCATCTTTTCCTCTTATTAATAATATTAATTACACAACTCTACAGATGTTACGGTGTCCCAAAAATGCTTTGCTAATATAGGAAAACATTCTGATGTGCTGCAATAAAAGATAATGCTAAATACTTGTATAAAACAACTAATTTTGCCAAATATTTAATTGTACTGACTAGGCAAAGTAAATATTAGTCAGACTGACAGCTAATTGATTTAGTCTGAATTAAAACTAGACTAATCTAAACAGAGGTATTTCAGTTGCAATTTGGAATTCATAATTGGTTCAGATGTCTATATGCTTTCCCTGGGGCTAAACATTTAATTAGAACTATGAGAAACAATCAACCAATCATGTGGAAGTTCAGGCAGGGCTTGGATGCCCAGGCTGTTTACCTTTTTTTTTCTTTCTTCTTTACTGGCAGGATGCATTGAGAGCAGTCCTGCCAGAAGCTTATTAAGAAGCTCTGTGAAAAAGGGATTTTTATTTGAAGAAATTTAACTGCCATAGCCTTTGCCTAGGAAGTCTATTCTTTCTTCTGTTTCCTTCAAGGAGAAAACTGATGACTGGGAATACTTTGCTCTCAGATCCAAACTGAATCTAGTACTTTAAACACACCAGGCAGCTCAGGTGCTGCAGGGAGGACGCAAGTCTGGGCACAACAGAACTCAAGCCCACCGCACGATCTGTCCCTGCTGCCTCGGTGTGTGTTGCTCATGCATGAGTCTTCTGTCTCTGGTGCCCAGTTTCACTGTGGACTCACCAGCAGACACCTGCTGGGCAGCTCTGCTTTCCCTGGGTACAGGGCCTTGCACCCAGCAGGTGCATAGTAATATTTTTGGAAGGGAAGCATGATAGAGCTGAGTATCTTCAAAAGTTTTAAAACATTCACCCCAAACAGAGGATGCAGACAAAACACAGATTAAGTCTCCTTATTTCAACTCTGCCTTAGTTCTAACAATTAAGAAACAGCTTAATTAATTCTTGGAAGCCCCCATGGCAAGGAGACCAAGAAATGCACTGTCCCAGGCCTCTTCTCAGAGCTTGCCTGTGTGGGGGGCTTCTGCATGCAAACAGCTTCCCCCTCGTTGTAACTACCTGCGTGGTAGCAATTTAATAACTCCAAAGACTTCAGATGAAAAACAAGTATGCTGTCTTCACGGGACAGATAGATCACCTGCTTCAAGTAAAACCATGGTGGACTGGTACATCCACCTCTTTCCTAGCTTAGAATGTCCTCCATGAGAACAGGTGATAGACTCAGCCTCACGGAGCCCATGCCTCTCCAGCATCAGTCTACTCACTCTGCCGAGTCTGCCTGCCACTTGGTTTTCTATTGATTCATGCATCAGGCCCCTCACCCTTCCCCAATTGTCCCACTCTATGGGAAAAAATGACTACAATCTGGCTTTTTTCTTAGAGGAAAAAAAAATATATGTATATGTATACCTATGTATATGTATGTATGTGTGTGTGTGTGTGTGTGTGTGTGTGTGTGTGTGTACTGGCCCCTTTGAAAAACACTTACTTGCATTCCATGGTGTGAGCACAAGTAGATCCAACCATAGCCCCATAAAATGAGGTGAGATGGTATATGTTAAAGTGCCCAAGCACACAGTTATCCCTTAATCAACATTACATTCCTTTCTTTGCTATGAAGGAATACCGAGATGAGTACAATGTTTTATGTCTGTCTTTTTCTATCTATCCACCCATCAATCTGTCCATCCACCCACCTGTAAAATAAATCCAGAAATGTATTTAAGACATGTCTGTCTTTTCACAGCCCAATTCCACAAACGAGCTCCATGGGGACTACTTCCCTGTGTGTTTCAAATCAGACGCCCACCCTCAGAGCGTCACTCCAGAGAAGGTTAATTCAGGTCCAGAGCCTGAGGATAACTCATCTCTCCCAACATCACCCAGCTTGGTCAATGCAAAAGAAGCCATGATTGTCAGTGGGGTGACTTGGGGCAACACCAAGAACTAATTTTTCCATGGAAACTTTACTATAAATGTTCTCTGGGAATAGCTAAAGTAGCATCTAGTAACATGCATTAGCGAGAGAGTTCAAACTAGCATTTAGCATATGCTTCTAAGAGATGATTTCCATGTTCTAAAACTATGATTTACCAATGGCCACAATTCCTTGTTGGGGCTACTTCTCACATGAACGTCATTTTCTCTGTCAGTACTCATTGCCCTGTGACATAGCACATATTTTTCTATATCCTGCTTCACTTTCTGTGAGCTCTGCTGCCAGCTTCGCTGGCCCTGCAGTGGACAGAGCCAGAACATGACAGGTAGTCCAAAAATACCTGTTGAATGAATGAGCTCATCAAAGGCTTATTTGGCTATCTTCAATTTTTCATCTTATCAAGTATCTGTTGACAGATATTTGTCAAATATTAATTTCAAGTCTACACAAAAAGTATAATTAGTCATCCAATAAATACAAATTACATTAAAACTTTAAAAAGTCAGCTTCTCTTCAAATCATATATGTTTTAATCTCAAAGACCACATGAATTTTTTAAGGGAAAAAAGTTATATATTTACTGCTCCAGTTTTCCAATTCATGGCCACCACTAATATATGTATTATGACAACCACAAAAACAGCCATCTGCCTAGTCCCTAATTTCATTATTAAAATGCTCACTTGAGTTGCCTGGTGTTATTGCTGTATGGGTAAGATTCACATATATATATCTCCTGTAATTATTATGTATTTTGTTGACTTCTAAAATATCAATAGATCTATACTCACATGATTGTTGCTTCAAACTAAAGTCAAAAATTTAAATTCTCAAGGCTGACAAGGAATCCAAATATCTGGAACACGGAGATGGTCTGATATGTAGCTATACGTCTGTCTCGTTTTATTCAAAGTAGATATGGAAAACGAATGTCTACCTAGAATTCCATTAAGATGCAGACCCAACCATTTTTAGACCCCAAAACTCTAGCCCTTAGGAACATATCCTGCCCATCTGTACCTGGGGGTCCATTCTGAGGAAGGTGTGAGGGCCTCTGCTACTCAAGGTAGATCTTTTAAAGGTTTTGCTATGATAAAAATGGTAGTAATCTTCCAGGTTTCCAATCTGCAAGACAAGAAGCAGAATACCATCAATTAATATAGTCTTAAAAACAGCTTTAAAAAATTCTCCAGCCCCCAAGATTCTTCCCTTTATCTTAGAGGCTTATTCTCCCAGAGGAAACATATGCTCCAGCACACATCCCCTTCATATCTCTGGCATGTATTCAGTGTTTAGGAACATGGAGGTGGATTTAGATACTCCTTTTTAGATAAAACAACACTAAGTAATGTTTCCCATGAAGCACACACCTCACCACATCTCATAGTAAATTAGTATCATTTAAAGTTTGTACTATCATGGGCAAGTTTTGACAGAAATGAATGTTCATTTCAGGTCAAGCATCCCTGAAAGTAGCTAAGTTAGTGTCAAGTCAGGTCTGCATCAAAATATTCATTTATAAACAAACTCCAGCCTCTCCACCCCATGGGTAAACTGAAATATCGAAGAATGAACACGCGTCCTCAAGTGCAATGTGGGAGCCAAAGAAAACACGTGGATCCATCTGCTCAGGGATTGGGAAAGGGTCAGATGAGAACATCTAAACCCCTGGGGTGTCCCAATTTTCTGCCAGGGGCACTTTGTCAGGGCAGATTTCAGCTCGAGGGCTGGATGGAACCAAGAGCATCCACGTGGCCTAACCCCTGGCCTTCAGCAAAGGGCTGGCCCTCGCTGGCCCTCCCTCTAGTGCCAACTTGCCCTCATGTCTTGACGACTCTTGAGCTTTGGGACACTGTTGTCAGAGGCCTGCTTCTCGTCCTAACGTTCCCTGGCTATAGAAAATTGCTAGTTAATCACTATCCTTGAAAGACCTCTTAAAATAAAGATGAACTAAATATTGTATAGACTCTCAAGTGGCCCTTCTCAGACTAAACCATCCTAGTATCCTTTGACAGTTTCTGGTTACAGGGTGCACTTCAGACTAATTGTCCTCTAGAGTAGTTCTAGGTGGAGAATACAAACATGGGTTTTTAGTCACATAAACCTGGTCCAAACCCTTTCCACTCCCTTCACCACCATTACCCATGTGACCTTGAGCAGGGATATTTGACCCCTGTGAATCTAGATTCCTTATGTATAAAACAGGGATAAAATCGCTTGCCCTTAGAGTTGCTCAAATAGGACTAAAGTCTATTCAACTCACAACAAACCAATGGCTGCCCCCATCTCGCTCACAGCCATTTTGTTTGTGATGATGTGACCTCAATAGTGTTGACTGGTCCAGGCAGAGACCTGGATGGACTTTGGCACTGTGAGTGGTCATTTCTACATCTTTGCACAAGAAAATAAGGCAGGTGTGCAAGGGAGAGCCCTCTAAGCTCTATACTACCCATCAGCTCTCCTTTCCAATAGTACTGGCAGTCTGGCTGTCCCCTGTTCTTGGGTTTAGGAACACCCCTTTGTCCTTGAAACAAAGGAACTCCTTTTTCACTTAAGCTTGCTCTCACGTGTTTCTTTCACTTACAACCATAGAACATCAAATACTAAGATAGTCATGAGAATTAGAATAGGTATAATCTGTTTAGTGCCTAGCACCTAATGGGCACTCAACAAGAGGTGGCTGGTACTGGGAGCTGGGATTTTCTCTCTGGCACCTCTTCAAGGCTCCTCTATTCCCCTCTCAGTTCTGAGAGGCTTTCAATTTTGCCCAAATCTGAGTCTGCACCTAACCTGACTCCTTCCTTCTGGGTGACCTAAGTTTACCCCCTCTGAGTCTAATTTTCCTCATGAGACTAATGACTACCACTTGGAAGGGTTGCTCCAAGATTTGAATGAGATATATTGTGTGGGGGAGCTAGCAGAGCATCCAGCAGGTAGTAAGCACTCAAGAAATAGTTTTCTGTATTTCTGATTATCAGTTCATTTTCTACCTCAAGACACTTTTCTGTCATCATAAGCCTCATTATTTCTGCCCTATTTTGTACGTAAGCACTTTTGTTTTTCTGCCTACAGATAAGTCACCTTGCTCACTTCTTCAAAGTTAATTGCCACATGTGTCAAAAGGCTCCTCCTAACACACGCTAGAGCTATTATTCAGCAACAAAGGCAATCAGAGTCTTAACTTGTAGCAGTGTTTAATCAACATGTTTGCTTATAAGCTGGCGCTGTCCGTGGAAGATGTTACATAACTTCTGGTCTTTTAACTCTGGGCATCCAAGTCAATTCCCATTCAGGGACATGGAGAGAGTAAGAATCGAATGAGACTTGCTGGCAAAGGAATGGATTAATTGCAGAGCTGCTGACCCTCAGCAGGCCAGTGCCAGAGTGGTCCTGGCAGCCATTCAGGACAGCATCTGGCTTTTGGGCAGCTGAGCTAGGCTAGAAGCAGCTACTCCTCCCTTCCAAGGCCAGTCTCAAGGCTACCCAGCCCTTGCCTCCGGGCTGCCATGACCATCATGGTCCACAGGATCTGGGCTGATGGAAGCTGTTTTCCTAGAGAGACCCAAGAAAGGAACAGACGGTCCCCACAGCATTGACTAGGCAAACGGCGGCTGGGACAGCAGTGGCCACTGTCCTCTTTGTCTGGAAACTTATGTCCTGTGCAGCATGGGGGCTGAGGATCTGGGAAGGGTCACTCCCACTGCTAGAGAGAAGGGGACATCAGCCAGAGCTGCCCTTGCAAAGCCAGCTGCAGAAGTAGCTGGAATCTGACTACTCTGGGGAAATCATACATTTGTCCTTTTGTGTCTGGCTTATTTCACTCTATATAATGTCCTCAGGGTTAATTCATGTTGCAGCATGTGTCAGAATTTCCTTTTTTTCTTTGAGGCTGAATAATTTTCCATTGTGTGAATATACCACATTTTGTTTATTCATTTATCCACTGATGGACACTTGAGTTGCATCCACCCTGTGGCTATTGTGAATAATGCTGCAGTGAACACAGCTGTACAAATAACTGTTCATGTCTCTGCTTTCGATTCTTTTAGCTATATATCCATCTCCTACTTTTTATAAAGTTTTATTGAAACACAGTCACACCCATTCACGTATCTACTGTCCATGGCTGCTTTTGTACTATAACAGCAGAGCTGAAGAGTTAAGACAGAGCCCTTATGGCCCCCAAGTCTAAGGTATTTCAGACATGAACTCTACAAAAAACACTTTTTCAACCTCTGATTTAGAGCATTCACTGTTGAGAGTATTTGGGGGATGTGCCAGAATTCTGATGTCAAGCATGGGTCCTCTAAGGTTGGGAACGCACAGTCCCCATGCTGAGAGGGACTCTGCTTATAAACACAAGTGCAGCTGCAATCTGACACCTTCAGCATCTCATTTAGTGACTGAGTCATCCTTTCTCTGAGAACTCTCCTTGTCAGATGCCCCCGAAAGCCGCACCCTTCTGACACATGCAGTTCTGCCCCGCTGCTCCTTCCCCCTTTAGTGTCAGGAATCAGGGCAAGAATGCGAGGTTTTCACCATGGGTGGAAGACCAGAGAAAATTGAGGGGTGGCAGGGCAGGAGACAGGAGCAGCTGACTGCACCGGGAACACGTACCCAGGAAAAGTCATCTTGGTGCAGATGATGCAGCCATTTCCTGTCTCTCCTTCTCCCCACTCACCTGAGCCCTTCTAGGGTTCTCCCCTGACCTACCACAGCAGTGTATCCATCCCAGATATGCCTTTCCCCAATTTGGGTGGCTGCTCTTTCAGATCTCTGGGTGCCTTCATGGGAAAGAAAGACAAGGTGCCAGGCTGTGAGGCCCCCAGGCTAGGACAGGGTCACTCGTGGAGATGTGTGCACTAGCCTGGTTCAACATGACGGACACCTGTCTGCCCTCTGGCCCTGACTCACAGCTTGGGGTGTGGGAAAGGTCCACAGAGATGGCCCCATTTTACAGATGGGGAGAATGAAACCCAGGGAAGGTAAGTCCAACATCACATGGTGGGGCTCCTGATTTCTAACCCAGTAATCTTTTCATTCTGCTTATAGATTAGCAGGTAACAACATGTGACACCAAATGACAAACAGATACACAAAATGGGGTTTAAGATTATTGCTACACTTTTGGTACACTTTCAGGGTCAAACTGACACGGCTGGACTCAGAAGAATAGACAGGAGGGTGGCATAATGTCTTTTAAAATTCAAGGTAATCTAAGGAACGAGATTCTTATTTTTATTTGACATACGCACTGATATTAACATTAAAGTAGGTGCTGCTCCCAGCTCGGCAGCCTGGCCATCCTGGGTTGCTGTCCCTCTGCCATGGCCTGGGACAGTGTCTCTGCCAGGCACTGGCTCTGCTCCTGTGGTCATGGCTCAGGGCTCTGAATATCATTGAGCGAGTGTCAGAGCAGCCTGCCTTTGCAAACACAGCAATGGCTTCTACGGAATGCTGCGCCAGGCCCTGGCAACCTCCGCTTCTGTCCCCTCCTTGAGAACAGAAGAGAGCCTCTTCTTCCACCATCCAGGCTGCCTCCTGGTCCTGCTCATCTCTGTGCCCTCCCCGGGCTTCCATCTGCTCTTCATCAGTGAATCTGACCACTGGTCTGCGAGGCATTGTTCTTCTAAGTCGCAACACAACATTGCAATATGTTCTTGTTCTCTTTCTTGCCTGTGATATTTTCACAGTGCTTCTGTTAGAGCCTATCTCTTAGAATGCCATTCAAGAAAATAAACAATTTGAGGAATACAGAAAGCTCCCATCTCTTTACTCGACACTGATATGCAATTATATGCATTCGTTGATAAAACTGGTAACACCAATAAAACATCATTAAAAACCTTGCTAAATGTTCTCCACCAGAACATGGGAAGAAATGAGATCAAAGTATTCACTGTGAGGAAAGTTGAATGGAATGTAACTCTCCTTAACAGATGCTCTGTTAGAAATTTTAAAAAATCTAGATTACTTATGCACGTGATACAAAATATGGAAGGTGCCAAAGATATAGAGTTAGTAGGGAATAGAAATTTCTCCTTCTTCTCCTGTTCCCCAGTCAGAGTTCCCTAACTATATGGGTGCTCCTGGCTCAGCCAGAATTCCCCAACTTTTACTGAGTG